TTTCAAATCTAAAAATGTGTAATAATAACATTATCTTAATTAGTTCATACTAATCCGTGGTCAGAATTTATACCCCAATAATATGAATTAATGGATACTTTGAAATCTGGTGGCAAAAATAAATATAATGTCAAATATTCTTCGACATAATATATTATCTCCTAATTAAGGTAAAAAATCAAAATGATATGAATGCATACTTTGAACAAGAATATCACAACAATAATCTCAATATATAATTAATAATAATATTGTTCAAATATAATCGTTCGTGCATCTATAAATATAAGTTATTATCATCACAATTAAACACAAAAAGAAAGAAGAAAGAAATGTATCGTCCAAAGTGGACACCATTCCCCCCATGCCAGACATACCCTTGCAAAGATGTTATGTGCTGCAGTGATCACCATAAGTACAGGGTGACATGGCCGGAGCTGATGGGTGCCGAACCCGAAACCGCAAAGGCTATCATTGAACGTGACAATCCCTACGTAAAAGCCGTTATTCTGCACCGAGAGGAGGTGACGCGCGACGACTTCTGCTGCAATCGAGTTTATGTCAAACTTGATGCCAACAAGCGTGTCTATTTGGTTCCTCAAGTTGGTTGATTATTACTGATGACTAATATTTATGTTTATTGTTGGAATTAATAATAAATAAATGAAAAAAAAGACCGTTTGGTTGTTCTTATATATTCTATTCTATGAGTTTCATCGCGTAAATTTATCATTTTGCTGTACTATTTTGCGTTTGGTTGTTACTTGCTCAAGCTCGTCGAGCTTGATTTTATGACGCTCGAGATCGACTCGACAAAAGAATTCAATCACTCGAGCTCGACTCCGATTTAAATATAAGTGTACAAAAGATTGCTTAAGCTCTGTTCGAGTTCAACTCAAATATCAAGTAAAATTACCGTTAAGTACATATATTAAAATATTATAATACTTATATAAGGGGTATTTTAGTAGTTCACTACATAACTTAAAACCGCTCTATTTGAGATCGACTCGATAAACATGCTCAAACCGCTTGAGTTTGGGTTGAGTGCGGTCAAACTCGAGCTTGAGCCGAGCTTTTAGGAGAATTTGTATTTGGGACGAATTTATTATTAATGAGAATTTAATTCACGCAGTGGTATATGAAGCAACAACCAAAAGCAGTCAGTCCATATATATGATTTTAAGATCATAGCTAGCATTCACATTATCATTCAAATTAGCATTCACAGAGGATGAAGCACTTGAGAAATCACAATAGGACTTCTGACTGTGTGCTTGCCACCCTCATGTATCCAGGTGAGGGAACCGTGTAAGACATGAGCTGTAGTTGGTACTTTGTAGTGAATGGTTAAATTATAGCTTCCCCTGTCATATTTGCTGTTGAATATCAACCTCCGAGGCCAAACATGAATCTCAGTATCATTGGGAGCATCTACTTTGACATAGTATACGGCTGGGTTGTTACCATCGCCCACGTACGTAACCGTCCTTTGAAATTCCTTAGTCAGCATCTTGCCCGGGTAGATGCTTGGGCGGTTAGAAGGATAAAGAGCAATGAAGGACGGGTAGTTGAGGTCGGACGATGGGATTGAGCAGTTGTAGTCGGATCCGACAATGGTCCTAATTTGCATCCTGGTGAGATTCATAGAGCAGAGGTAACTAACATACTCCTGCCGGGATAAGTCGTAAACCAGTCCTGGGTCGAGCGCTCGATTTGGGTCCACCTGCCCGGCCCCCATGGCTAGTGGGTCGGCATAGTCACCGGAACTCACGTCCCGGATTCTGCTCCCGGTGTTGTCGAGAGGGTTGGCCGTAGTCATGATGGCAGAGCGTATTGCCCCCGGGCTCCACTCCGGGTGCGCGCCTCTCAAGAGCGCCGCAATCCCGGAAATGTGGGGGCAGGACATGGACGTGCCGTAGACAAGCGCGAAATTGCTGCTCAAATCAATGCTCCTCCCGATGGAAGCCGTCGCCACATTTGGATTCCATGAGGCCAGCACGAGGGTCCCCGGGGCCATGATGTCCGGTTTCAGGATGCCCGGGCAGCTCCAGGAAGGGCCCCTGGACGTGTACGATGCCACCATGGGGGCCGGCCTCGTCTCGACCAGCGTCTGCTGGAATAGGATGCTCGCGCTCGGCCGCGCACTTCTCTTGGCGTACTCTATCACGGTCCGACCGTCGTCGGGGCTGACCACCACGCCGGGATACCTCATACCACTCATCTCTTGTAGGACTGCGGTTTCGCCCGAGATGTAGATACCCGCGCGGGCACCCGATTCCGAGATAAAGTACATCTGGCTTAAGACATCGAAATCAATATCATCGCACACGACTATACCGTCACGTGCCGCGGATAGTGCGTCGGTGGAGTTGCAGGACGAGAAGGTGGTGCTGTAGAAGAGAGGCAAATCTCTGACGAGGGCAGGGGCCGGAAATAGGGACCGACCCTGGATGGTCACCCCATTTCCCAAACGCAAGATACCCGAAAACAAACGGTCGACCGACCCAGCCGCAACAGTCAACAGCCACGGGAACCCATTGTGTAGACTCCCGACATGACCATTGTTTCCAGCCGAGGCAGACACCACAACTCCTCTCTCCATCGCAGCGAATGATGCTATGGCAATTGGGTCCTCGTACAAGGGTAAGGGATCAGACCCCATGGAGATAGAAATCACATCCACCCCGTCCGCCAAAGCCTGGTCCATCCCAGCGAGCACATCTGAGGCGTAGCCTCCCTCCTCCCATACCACCTTGTACATGGCCACTCGAGCACGAGGCGCAATTCCTCTCATTGTGCCCTTTGCATACCCAAAGAAGGAAGTTCCCGGGACGTAATTCCCACAGGCAGTGGACGAGGTGTGCGTACCGTGACCATCTGTATCCCTCCCCGAGTTCATGCTGAGGGATGTCCCGGGCTCCAGACTCGCCATAAGACCCTTATTGAAGTACCTAACCCCAATCAATTTCTTGTTACACATAGAGGAATTGAATTCCTGTCCAGCCTCGCATATCCCTCTCCACCTGCTCGGAATCTCCGTCATACCCTCGTCCCTGAAGCTCAGGCTCTCGGGCCACACGCCCGTGTCGATAACCCCGACAATCACATCTCGACCATAGTCCGAGGCTGGCCATAGTCCCGTCGAGTTGTTCAGAGACAGGAACTTGAACGTGTGAGTCGTGTCGAGCGTGACGCTCGCGTCGCGGTACGCGGAGATGAATGCGCTGGATTTTTTGAGGGCTTCGAGCTCGTCATCAGACAACAGCGCGCTGAACCCGTGAAGGGCGTGGTCGTAAGCGTACAGAATACTCGTCTCCTCTCCTACTGTTTTTTCTCGACTCACAGACTTGAGGACTGACGCATACCACTCAGTCGGGCTGACAAAGGGTTTGGGCATCACAGATCTGTCCATGTGGATAATGTACATGCATCTCTCCACCAAGCCTGCGCACGCAAATTAATCAAAGCCAATTAATTAAACCAAAAAAAAAAAAAAAATGTTTTAATGTTGCAAACTAAATTTAATTAATTAATAACAACTTCAAATGTGGCTACCTGATTCCACCTCGCTAACAGCAGTGCATTCTGTTTTGGTGAAAATAATAAGAAAACCCAAGAACAAAATTAGTGGGACATTATTAGCTAATAATAATCCCATTTCAAATTTTGGGCAATTTTCTCTCATATTCATAAACTGAAAATCTTAATAAGTCTTACAATAATGAAGATGAAGCTCGACTTATAAGCGAGCTGAAGGAAAGGATCGGCCAGTGAGAAAGTGACACGTGCACGAGCCAAATAACCAATAAAAGCAAACAACTAAACCATGGGCATGCAAAACATATTACCCCTAATTAGCAGAAAAATAGACAACAAACCACACCTAAGGAACCACTAATCCAACACATGGTACAACTGATGAAGTTTAGACAATATATAGAAGAACGGTTTGCTATGGAGCCATCAGATGGCTCGGCTTATGGAACCATCCATAATTATCCACAAATGGTGTATTGTGTCCTGCAATAAACACACATGTGTCGATACATAAAGTTATGGATGGCTCCATAAGGGAACCATCCGATGACTCCATAGCATTTCTATGTAGAGGAAATGCCTAAACATAATTATAATTAACCCGACAAAGGTTTTAATGAAGCTGTGGTCAGATGTGCAAATGATGCCATCAAATTATTTTCAACGGGTTCTTTTCGTATTGCTGTTTTTAGTATCCAATAATTATCCATTAAATAAGCAAGAAATTAATTAGCACAACTTTTTAAGCCACAGAAAACTGAAGAGAGATCATAAGAAGTTGTCTTTGTTACACGTACTTGTAGTAGCATATGAAAACGAATTTGTATATTTTTGCACAATTAGTTATACTTAGCTTTCATATGAAAACGATTTTGTTATACTAGTAAAGTGCACGTGAAATGCACGTGGTGTCGAATGATTTTCGCTGAATAAATTTGTAAAATAAATTAATTTATTTATTAAACATATAATTGCATGAATTAATTAAAATATAGAACAAATGAACTTATATGTGATTTTTTTTATATATTTAGAATTAACGTAATGGTGTCCTGATATAAAAAGAGTGAAATAACGTTTTACAACCCCCAACAAAAATATATAATCCTTAATAAAAAAAAAAACACTAAGATTTTCTTTCATTTTCGTTTTGACGTTCTCATAAGAAACATTCATACTTGCTGGAGTCCAAAACATCAGTGCTATTGCAAAATTCCTCTTAATTCATTTGGCAAAATGCCAATTTTATTCAAACACTTAAAAAACATTCTGACCCAACATATAGTCAAGCTTCATGATCGTATAATCTTTATAATAAGGTATTTCTACAAACAATGCATAAATATCTCTATGAAATAATTAACTGTATCATTAAAATTGCTGATTTATTTTATCATTATATAAACTACTACATTTTTCCGTCTCTAGACATATTGGTGCTGATATAGCCATACCGTCATATAACGGCTTACGATGTCCCGGTTCGGATATCGAGTCGACTTACCCCAAGTCGACTCCTCTCACATATCTCCTCATAATGATACACCCGGCCGAAGGTCCGGATGCTTTTCTTAGTCGACTTCTACCCTGTCGACTAGACTTGAGTCGATTCCGTCTGGAAAGATAAATGAGTATATTAGGGTCTACTAGCAAGTGGAGGACGGCCCAGTTGGATCGAAAGAAAGGTTGTTTCAAGTCGACTGAAGTGGACTCGGGGCTCTCGGATCCCCGACGACTCTTATACACTTCAGTATATCAGAAGTAAGCTATTAAGGGATAAGGAAGGATCTAGATGCTGACTAGGAAGAGGACAGAATACGAACCGACCAGGGTATTTTGGACATTTCCAGTAAGTCGGCCAGGGCATTTTGGGGACTTCAGGTAAATGTTCTACTTCTATATAAAGGAGCTGAGGTAACTCCAAAACCCTAACTCCCATTCATTCCACACACTCCTCCATTGCTGCTGCTTCCTCAGAGCAGCTCTTTCCACTCTTTTCATATACTGACTTGAGCGTCCTAGGCTCTACGCCGGAAATTCCTCCGGCGTTGAGTTCTTGCAGGTGTTCTCGCAGTTCGATAGCAATTTGGAGACCATCAAGACAGATCGAAGCTCGTTCTCATCGGTTGATTCCAGATCCGGGCGATTTTCCACCGGTTCACCCCAGATCCGAGAATAGACCCATCATTTGGCGCCGTCTGTGGGGAGTTCTTGAAGGAATTAAGAGCTTTACACCTAGCTTTGATCTGTTTCCGATGGCTGAGAAGGATGGATTGCAGAAAAACTTGAATGACGATTTCAGGGCAACCTGGACCGACAAGCGACCTCCGCCGATCCCCAGCGTCAGACCACCGCTCCAGGTGCTGGGATTTCCACCGTTCGGGATGCACGCGCCGGCGGGAGGGCGTGCGGGAGAAGAAACGCCTATTACCCCACCTGGAGTCAAGATCCCAGTCCTCACCCAGGGGGAGGCCAGTCACGTGAAGGGCACGAGCGGAAAAGTAGATGGTCATGCCTTGACCGAAACATCTTTGAGACTGGGGAGGCAGCCTGAACGACTTGATCAGGAGACAAGGCCACCACCCCAAATCGAGGAACAAACACTGACCA